AAAAACCCTAGGGGTTTTAGTAGGCTACAAAACTAAATATTAGCAGTATGAATTGCTCCCAAAAAATGCATAGGATCTAAGGCTGAATAAATAGATGTATAATACACAGTGTGGACTGGGGTGAGTAATCTGTTTATTTTCCCCTGCTTAGTCTCCTTCTAAAGGATTATGTCCTGTTCTGGGCATCACATTTTAGGAAGGATATTAAACTCTTTGGAATAAATCCAGAGGATGGCAAAAGGTCTGAAGACCGTCATGAAAATTCGTTAAAAGTACTGGAGTACTTAGCCTGGAAGAAAGGGTTTAAGAGCCATATGATAACTATCTAGAAATATCTGAAGGGCCATCAGTCATGTGGAGGAAAGCTTCAGCTTGATAAGTTTAATTGCAGAGTAGAATTAGGAGCAATGAGTGAAAGTCATAGGGAGACAGATTTTGACTCAATATGAGGAAAAAACTTCCTAAGAATTAGAGCTGTCTGGTAGGGGAATAGACTGTATCAAGATGTGAGTTCTCCATCTTTGGGGGTATTCTTGCTGCAGCCTGACACCCTCCATTTGAGTATTTAATAATCCCTGCATGCATACCGCTCTGTCTCTACAGAGTTTTCACATCTGTCATTTTATATGTTCCTCATGATACATTTCTATAGTAGTTTAAGACTCATAACATACTTTGCTGTGAACAATCCAGTAGGATCAGTAGTGAAACTATTATCCTCATTTAAAAATTAGACTTGGACAAGTGACTTGCCTCAATTTACATTGTTAATAAGAAGCATGAGCTGGCTCTTCAGTCAGGTCTCCTGGGTCCTAGTCTGGAGTTTTTCTACTACCAGGCTGTCTCCTTCATCTAAAGACACATGGATTTTATATCATTGAGGAAGCTTACTTCTTTTTTAAATGTCATCTCTCTTTGCCCCCACTGAAGGCTGACCTAAAAACTGGGGAGCTTGCTTTATTATTATTATTGAGATGAAGGGCTGAGGTGACCTGGATCTTGCTGACAATTACAGGGAGATGTGTACCATTTTTAGGTATCTCCACTACTAAAGCCCTTCCCTGATGTGGCGTGGGAGGAAATCTTGGGATCTTGAGGCTAAGCCAGTGAAGCACAAACTCTCGCAGTTCCCTCCTAGCTGGGAAGGCTCGACCAGTTGGTCATAGCAGTTCATGAAACTGTCTGCTGAGGTGAGCAGGGAGCACACATCTGTGAATTCAAGAATCTTTTGAAGTATTAAATATCCGTGTTTGTAACTTTTAATGCAAGAAGTTAAATAGAACAAATTTAATAGGTCTTGATCTGTATTTATCAGTCGGGTCCCCCTCCTCTGTACTCCTTCCTTCTACCTCCAAGGATTGAATGAAATGCTGGTTCTATTTTTACTGGGCCTGGGTTCTTAAGTTGGTTTCTGAGATTTGAGGTGGTTGGAAAGTATTTTGGGGCATCACTCTTTACCAGTGTAGTCCTTAGAGTTTCCTTCTCATCATACTGTGGTTTTCATTTTCTTTAGGTCCCCTCTGTGCTCAGCAGCAGGAACGTTCATCAGATGAGATGGCAGCTGTGGGGACAGAGCGTGAGTCACCTCCTGTTGTACTTCTTCTCAGCTTCTCACCTGGGACACAGTCTGGACTTGAGCACTACCAGGCTCTGCTTCATCTCTGTGATCGTGTTGTAGCCCCGCAAACTCTGCATCTTCTCTCAGATTCCATCTTTAAGTATTTTTGCCTCATTCTCCTATCCCCAGTGAGTCCTCATGACCTGTCAGCCTTTTAGTTTCCCTAGTCCCAGCTGTCCCACTGCTGTAGTTTGGGCCTGACTGTGTGGGAGGTCCCACCATGTAGAAAGGGAAATGCTCTTCATGAAGAGCCACCATGGCTTCATCAAGGACTATGTCAGTTCTTTTTTGTGATATGGTTATTAGGCAAGTAGATCAGAGGAATGCTTTAGATATAGTTTAGCCAAATGAGGTAAGCAGCTGACAGCCTCATCATATTTTTACAGATAAGATAGAGATCTAAAGGCTAAATGATGTTTCATTTAGATGTTTGGAATTGAATGACTGGCCCCCCAAATAGTTATTAATGGCTTGATGTCAACTTTGAAGGTCTCGAATTTAATGGGACTAAGTAGAAAGTCATTTAATTGAATTTAAGAAATCAACTTCACAGGTACCAAATAAGGGAGAATATGACTGGTATTGAAGAAAGTTGATGTACTGTGAGGTTAGGGTGGGGCATATGATCATGTCTAGTGATGTTCCTACAAATGATGAGACAGGTTGGAGAAACTTTGAGCCAGGTACTGAGCTCCTCCAGAAAGCAACATTATATGGACAGATAGCAGTGAACCTCAGTGGAAGATAATGCTGAGTGATGGCTGTGCCTAACTTCCTGGGGACAAAAGGAAGGGGCAGTTGGCTGTGGGAAAGGTAGGCAAGGGTATATTTCTGCAAGGAAAAGAATATGGAAAGAGTGTGAAGAGAGGGGTTCTCTGGATGAAGAAAAATCTGTTTGCAATTTGGCAGAGGTTTCAGAGGGCACAATGGAAGCGGGGGGAATTGCCTGTTATATACTAGGCATTGTGCTGAGTGTTTTATAAATATTGTCTCCTTTGATGTTCACAATAGCCCTGACAGGTAGGTGCTGATATTATCCCCCTTTGCTTTAGTTGAGGGAACTGAGGCTAGGAGAGCTTAAGTGACTGGCTCAGAATCACACAGCTAGTGGGTATCAGAAGTCACATTTAAGCTCAGGTCTTCATGAGAATAGGAAATCAGCTTTAGGAAGCCCTGGAGCCCAGCACTTTATCTAGTGTGCCACCTAGCTGCAATGGAGAGGAAGGGCAGAGGAGAACAAGCAAGTCGTTGGATTAAACTGGATTGGTGCAAGAGTGCAAAGAACAGTAGTAAGAAGAAAAGGAGCCTGAATCCCTGGTTAGAGGGGTGGATTTATTCCCAGTTGTTTGGGGACTCACCCTGCTATGTTCCTATGATGATGGATGCTTGAATTAGTGCACTGTTCCCTCTCTAAACACAGGGGAACTTTCCTGATTCTGGACAACCGTTAGCATCTTCCTACACCTACATTATCATTTATTTACTTTGTATGTACAGTGTGTCCCCAAAGTTGTGCAGTTTTAAGTAAGTAAAGCTTTGCTTATATGGATAGGTGTTGTTTTCCCAAAGCATATGAATTTCTGAGGGGAGGGACTGTTTTGTTTTTTGTTTTTGCATGTCCAGTGCCTAGAAGACTGACTTGAGCATGGTAGATGCCTAATAAATGTTGGCTTGATTATAGTTTATAACCTTTAAAGTACTATGGAAATATGAGTTATAATAAAAATAATTATAAGTACCATAATATATAACAAAATAACTTTCATTATAACTCATATTTCTATTATTATCTAACTTATTTTCATAGTTCCTTAAGGTTTATAGGTACCTTATAATGTGGGGTAGGGGTTGCCAGTATTATCGATATTTTTATAAATGAGGTAACTGAGTCTCAGAGAAGCTTTGTGACTTGTACATGATCACAGATAGTAAGTGTTAAAGTGCACTGTCTTCCAATCCAAGTTCTGAGGCAGAGGTCAGGAGAGACTTCAATATCTTAATCTTTGGTATGTTTTTTTACTACCTTTATATTCTTGACTAGCCTTCTCACTGTCTTCAAGTATGTTTTCCTTATTCTATGTGTTTATTTTGTACTCTGTTCTGGAATTCTCTCCAATAACTTCATTCATAGTATCATAGGACTTAGAGTTGGAAGGGACCTTAGAAATGGTCTAGTCCAACCCAGTGAGTCAATTAATAGACATATATGCCTACTGTGCAAAGCCCTGAGTTAGAGAGTTTAGATAAGATACTGTCCCTTAACTCAAGGAGTTTACAGAGTAGTAGGAGGGTAGGGGACCCACAAATAGCTATGATACATAACATTCTGTGATTAGTGTTGTACAGATGTCGAAAAAAAAGTGCTTCATGAGGCCCTTGAGGAAAGGCTTTTATCAAGAGGGAAATCTTTCTTGGGGAGGTGCCATTTTTAAATTGGGCTTTAAAGGATGGGTAGGGATTTAACCAGTAAAAATGGGGAAGGAAAGTATCGCAGGCAAAGGAAACAGCCTGAGCCAGGAAAGGCAGATGGGAGAGCACAGTGTATAGTCAGGGGCCCAAGAATTTTACAGTCTGGCTAGGGTACGGAGGGCACAGAGGGTGGTAAGATAAAACAAGAATGGGAAAGCAGGGTTGTACCAGATTTTGGAGGGCTTCAACTACCAGACAAAGGAGTTTAAACTTTACTTAGGAGGCAGATTTTTGAGCAGAGTGATTTTATGGTCATATATATTTCTATGAGTGATTATTCTGGCAATGTAGGAGAGAGAGGGAGAGGGAGAATGTGTGAGAGATAAGGACTTCTCTTAAAATGAATTTCAATTTGATGATACTATTTTTGCCCTCCAGTAGTCTGATTCTATTTTGTTTCTCATTTCAGATTGTAAAACTTTTAATAAGAAAGAGGCTACATCAAAGCAAGAAATCACTAAAGAAAGAATGTCACATGAAACAATATGGGAAAAATTTCTAAGTGAAGCTTCATAGGGATTGAAGTTTATGGAAGTCTTTGAAATGCAGAACAGTTTAGAAAGGCAGAGAGAGGCCCTTTGTAGAACTATCATTTACAAGATAACTCCTGGAGGAAAAATAAGCCATGAACATAAAGACTATAAAAGAAGCTTCTGTTTGAGCTCCAACATTGAACTTCAGGGAAGTCACAAAGGAGAAAGACCCCATAAATGTGAAGCATGTGGCAAAAATTTCAAATATCAATCAGATATTATTAAACACTTGAGAATTCACACTGGAGAGAAGCCTTATGAATGTAAGGAATGTGGAAAATTCTTTAGCCAGAGCTCAGATGTTACCAAACATCAGCGAATTCATACTATGAATGTAATGATTGTGGGAAAACTTTCATTCATAGCTCACATGTTATTAGACATCAAAGAATTCATAATGGAGAGAAGCCCTATCAATGCAGTGAGTGTGGAAAAGCTTTTAGCCAGAGCTCAAACCTTATTCGACGTCAGAGAATCCATACTGGAGAAAAGCCCTATGAATGTAATCATTGTGGCAGATCTTTTAATCAGTTTTCTTTACTTATTGAACATGAGAGAATTCATACTGGAGAGAAACCATATGAGTGTAAGGAATGTGGAAAAACATGTAGTCACAGCTCAGATATTATTAAACATCAGAGAATTCATACTGGAGAGAAGCCCTATGTGTATCATGAGTGTGGAAAAACCTTTAGTCGTAGCTCCAGTGTTATTAATCATCAGAGGATTCACACTGGAGAAAAACCATGTGTATATAATGAATGTGGAAAAGCCTTTAGAGGCTGGTCAGGCTTTGTTCAACATCAGAGAACTCACTCTGAAGAAAAGCCTTATAAATGCAGTGAATGTGGAAAAGCTTTTATTCGGAGCACACAGCTTATCAAGCACCAGAGAATACATACTAAAGAACATATTCCAAAGAATAAACCAGTTACTATAATGAAAAAAGGAAAAGGAGAATCTGAGAGAGCAGAGAACCCAGTTTAAAGCAGCTTTTCGAAAGTTTGTAAGCTCTTGCAGGTCAGGCATTTAGCTTGCATTATACACATCTAACCCATCTCATAAGAGTTGCTAAATAAATGCTTGTTCATTGTTTTGATAACTTGTGTGGCTGTTTCACCCTCATCCCACCCCCACTGGCAGATCTGAGGAGTACTAAGAGAACATGGGGTGATGTAGGTGCCAAAGATGGAGGATATTTGAAGAGGAAGTAAGAGCTGAATGTCAGAGCAGAGGTTGAGATGAATGAGAACTGAGTAAATTAGCATGGCGTATGCCCAGGAGGAAGGATGGAAACAAAAATTTATTAAGTGCCTACTATGTGCTTGGTACTGTGTGCTAGGCACTTTTATAAATATTATCTCATTTGATCCTCACAATAACCCTGGGAGGGATAATAGTAACATTATTATCACCATTTTATAGTTGAGGAACTACTGTAATGTTCCAGGAAGAACACTATCGAGGTACCTTAGAGCAATTTTAATCAGTTTTCCATTTATTGACTGAATGCAGAGGTCTTTTTTAGGTTCTCTGGGAGGCAATTTACACAACAGGCGTATGTAGTTAGTTTCTTTTCTTGAAATTGTTGGAGGAAGACTATTATGGTAGCTTTCAATGTAATTAAAGGTCAGAGGGCGAGGTCATCCCAAATCCATAGAGGCAGATTTTGGCTTAGTATAAAGAAAAATTTCCAAACAATTAGAATTTAGGGATGGGGTTAGAATTGTCCAGAAATGGAATGGTTGCTTACAGAAACAGCAAGTTCCTAATCATTGTAGGTTTTTCTTTTTTTCCCCCCAATTAAGAAGCATTTTTTTTTTAGTATGAAGCAATTGGGGTTAAGTGACTTTCCTAGAGTCACACAGCTAGTGAGTGTTATGTGTTAGGCTGGATTTGAACAGTGGTCCTCCTGACTCCAGGACTAGTAATCTATCCACTTTGCCACCTAGCTACCCCAAAAGAAGCATTTTTTTACCTCCCACTAAACCTTCCCCACTGAGAAAAAGAGAAACAAAACCTTTGTAGCAAATATGCAGTCAAGCAAAACAAATTTCCACATTAGCTATGTCTAAAAAAATCACTGTAAGTTTTCAGTAGGAACCTGGACAGATACTTGTCGGAGATCTTATTATAGCAGAGATTCCTGCTCAGATAAACATTGTAGTAGAGGACCTCTCAGATTCTTCTCACTCAGATTCTGTGATTTCAAAAAATCAGTGGTGGGGAAGAAGCAGGAGGAAGCTGTCACTTGGATGTGATAATGCCTTATCTTCAGAATGGGATATGACTGTACAGAAACCATAATGCCCTATCTTCATCTGTGCAGCAAGTTATATTTTTTCTTTATTGAAAAAATTTGATATCTTCTGTTTTCACATCAATTTCTGAACAGCCTTCCTCCTCCCTTACCCAATGAGTAACAAAGAATTTTTAAAAAGGAATATTTGGTTTGGCGCTCTGACCTAGAAGCATACAGGGAAAAGTGAGCCCCCAGCCTAGCCAGAAGAGAGGGGAGGTGTTGGGGGAACAACTGGAGAGAAGGTCCAATGGGGCCAGATTAGGGATGGCCTTAAATGCCAGATTCAGGAACCTGGACTTAACCCCCAAAGTTCTTGATCAGAGAGGAGGAAGGTTGTATTCTTAATATATAATATATAATAATATTCTTAATATGTTGGCTGTGTCTAACAATAAACACATCATTTCATGCCTATGGTCCCCCATCTCTTTAAGTTGAGGAAAGATAGATTTCCTCATTTCTGTAGTTTCTCATTTCTCCTCTGGGGTAAAGTTTGGTCATTATAATCACACAGCATTCTTTTTTATTGTTTTTTTCTTTGTAGTTACATTTTTGTTAACGTGTGTGTTTTCCTGATTTTATTTACTTTATAACAGAAGTTTTCTCATGCTTTTCTGAATTCTTCCTATTCATCATTTCTTAGGATGCACTAACACTCCATTGTGTTGCTTTCACAATGAACATTTACTTTGTTTCCAATTCTTTGATGCCATAAAATGTGCGGCTATAAATATTTTGAGTGAGAATGTACATGTGTATTTACACATGAGTGAAACACATTTGTATACGTATACACACAGAGATACCTGTCTTTAACTTGACTGGAGTAGCAGTAAGATCTCTGCTCCAAAAGGTGTGGACACTTTAGTAACCTTTTTTGAGGGCATAATTCCAAGTTGCTTTCCAGGTTGTTTGTGTCAATTCACAGCTCTATCAACAATGTCTTAATATGCCTGTCTTTCCACAAACCTGCCAACAGTGACTTTCCTTTTTTTTTTTGACATCTTTTTAAATTTGCTGGGTTTGTGGGGTAGTTTCACTTGCTTTTATTATTAGAGATTTAGCAAAATATTCCTTATGGTTTGCAGTTCTTTTAAGAACTATCTGGTCATATCCTTTGATCATTTATCCATTGGAGGAATGGCTTTTGGTCGTATATTTGTACTACATGTCTTGAATCCTGGCTCTGGAGTCAATGGATTTAGCTCTGATACTACCTGTGGTTCTGACAGATTTCACCTGTAAATGCATATGGAACAGGGATTTTCTTTCTTTGATAGATGCTTCACAGCTCAGTCAACTAATATTTATTAAGTGCCTACTATGTACCAGGCATTGTGCTAAGTACTTGGGGATGGGCAAAAAACAAACGATTTCTGCTGTCAAGGAACTCACAGTCTAATGGAGAGAGACAGCATACAAACAACCATATACAAACATTTCATATATATGTATACATACATATATTAATACATATATATCTGGTTAATTGGGGGTAGTCTTAGAGGGAAGGTACCAAGATTAAAGAGGACTAGCTAGGAAAGGTTTCTTTCAGAAGATGAGACTTTAAGTTAAAGGCTGAGATGAGGAAGAACATTTCAGGCATAAGGACAGCTGGTGAAAATAGTGAGGAGATTGTGTTTAGTATAAGGAACAGTAGGAAGGCCAGTGTCACTATCAGAGGATGTGGAGGGGAGTAAGGTATAAGAAGACTGGAAAGGTAGAAAGGGCCCAGATTATGAAGGGCTTTGAAAGCCAAATAGAGGATTTGATGTTTGATCTGGTAGATTAGATGGAGCCAATGGAGTTTATTAAAGGTGGAGTGGGGTGATGGTGCAATGTGATATGGTTGGACCTGGATTTGACAACTGAGTGGAGGATGGATTGGAATGGGAAAAGACGAGGATGGAAAACCAACCAGCAGGCTCGTTCAATTTCATTTTCTGAGACTGAATTAAGATCTCTACTTCATATCAAGTTTTATTTTTAAAGCTCTTAAATAGGCATGATTTATTTAATTCACATTTCTCCAACTTTTTAAGGTTTGTAGAAACAATTTTCTCATCACAACCCTGTGAGGTAGGTCATCTAAGCCTTGTTATGCCCATTCTTTGAAACAGAAAATGGGCTAAGAGTTGAAGGGACTGGCCTGTGGTCACACAATGATAAGTCCTGCAGCCAGGATTCATATGGTCATAGCATTTAGAGCTGAAAGAGATTGTAGATTGTCCAGTGCCTTCACTTAACAGATAAAGTAGCTGGAAGGGAAATGAGCAAATATTGAAAATCTACTAAAAGGTTCATAACAATCTAGAGTAAAAAGTAAAAAAATGAGTAACATTCTTTACATTACAGAAACTCAGATTTTATTGGAGGCAGTGGAGAATTCAACATAAACACAGATAGGAATAACAGAGTTGGTAGTTAGGGACAAATGAGAGATCAGCAAAAAGCTTATTTTTGAGGCAGGAAGAGGAATACTAGCTAACATTTATTTATATGGTGCTTACTATGTGCCAGGCACTTTACAATTATTTCATTTGATCCTTCAAAACAACCCTGTGTCTAAGAGAGGTGCTATTATCATCCCCATTTTACAGATAAAGTAAACTGAGGCAAAACAGGTTAAATTACTTCCCTAATGTCACATAGCTAGCGTCTGAGACTACATTTGAACTCAGGTCTTCTGACTCCTGGGCCCCAACCCTCTTTCTCCTGCCTCACCTAATAGGTTAAGGGAAGATTTTATAGAAGGACGAAATGGATTCCGGAGGAATGCTTTGTAGGCATGGGGAACACATATTAATGTGCGAAAGTAGGAAATGTCCAGTACTTTCAGAAGCTGTGTGAAGGATGGATTAAGGGAGATGCAACCCTGAGTCACTGTGCTAGTTAAGAGTGGAGAGGAGGCGGATGTGGAAGGTGAGATAAAAGCATCAAAAGGATTTGCACGGGGGTGAGGGGCAGGGAAGAACCAAAGAGCGCTAAAGGTGGAAGACCTACACAAGGGCAAGTCTGACGGATGAGCTGGTATCGAGGGAAACACGAGCGCTGATCTGGCCGTGCTGAGCTTGGGACGGCGACAGGATAGGCAGTGGTCATCGGGCTTCCAGGACGAATGGGTGGGAGACGGATGACGGCCCGGCTAGCAGAGGAGTCCGAGACCGAGCGGTCAGCAGCTGCCCCCAAGGGTGGGGGCGGGGGGCTCGGGCAGCGGACAGCGTCACTGATGAAAAGGCAGAACCTAACTGTCGCGGGCTAGTCACGCAGTCGGCCCCTTTCCTTCCAACTCGGTCAGCAGAGAGCCCGAGGGGGAGGAGGGGGCGGCGGCTGCCCGCGGGGCCCGGTCCCTCAACACTTCCCCCTCCTCTCCTTTCCCGCAGTGGACACAGTGCCGGGCCTGGAGTTCAACACTCTCTAGCTCAGACCCCGTCCTCAAACGGCTCCCAGCTGTGTACCCTGGGCGAGTTCCCTTCCCTCTGCTTGCCTCAGTTTCCTCATTTGTCAAACGGGGATAACAGCTCCTACCTCCCAAGGCTGTTGTCTTAGCAAAGGCTTCTTCCCTCCTCCCCTCCCCCCCCCTCTTTATCCGGCGGACACCGAGCCCACGACGAGTCCCGCTGGGCGCCTAGAGCGTCGCCGGAAGTGCCGAGCGGCGGGGACTAAGGTCGGGCGGGAGCACTTCCTGCTCGGGACGCGACTCGGGGTGTGTGTTATGTGCACAACGTCGGGGCTTGAGAAGACCTAGTGAATCGGCGTGTGTTGCTCAGGGTAAACGGTAAGCACGCGCAGTACAG